CACCCTGCCTGGCCTGCCTCCCCCACACCCTACCTGACCTGCCTCCTTCACACCCTACCTAACCTGCCTCCCTCACACCCTACCTGTCCTACTTCTCTGACCTACCTCCCATACACCCTACCTGACCTGCCTCCCTCACACCCTACCTGACCCTGCTACCACCATTGCAAATACTACCACTGCTATAATTAGTAATTTTAACTACTACCACTACCACTATTTTGTGTTAAATGGCCTCCAGCCTCCCCCAGTAGCCACACCTTCGCCGCCATTTTATTACCTTAATATTAAATATCCTAATACATATGTAGCTATCCTAGCTGTGTTGAATTAGTTGAGCCGCAGGTCTATGCGGCATTCAGTGACTGTTGCCTCATAGTCAATATCTGCAACTGTTGTCGGCTTTAGGGCCGAAACTCTCGTTCCCCTGAGGCAGAGCAAAGCCGAACGAAGGAGAGAGAAGGACAGTCGACATCTCATCCAGGCTGTAACATAACTTTTGGGCTGCTGCTTCTGTTCGGATATCACCTCCGCGAGTCTGGCGTAGAAGCATCTTGCATTTGGTCCCAGCCCACCAGAGGTTGTGAACACCAGAGGAGTGAAGCTGCCTTGATCAACGTTCTGAATTCTCTCCCCATATGCCCTTAACTTGTCGTTCTCGTTCCTCCTGTGTACAACATCGAGAGCTAAGTTACGGTGACTTGCGGCCATGGGATCAAAAATCCTGATGTCGAAGAAGGCTCGCTGTCCCCGCGTCCAGAATCCTCGAGCACTGACGTCAACACGGGCTTCGTTGGATGAGTTTGAATTCCTATGTTGGAAAATCTCACCATCCAATGGAAGGAGGGTCGGTTCTACCCTGACATCACGGCAGATTTCCTTCAACATATTTGCTGTGAGATCCCTTACTTCGTCATGCCTCATGCATAAGAAGCCCCCTTTCTTGCACACCATGGCGTGATCGATGTCATAGGAAATGCCACACATGCATTGGGAGGGCAAACCTTCCACTGGCCTACCGTACCTTAGAGCAATGGCATCTGTAAATTCTTGTTTATTGAGACTGAAACCATTTGCCCTTATCGGTAACGTAGTTAACCAGTTCGAGGCGCCCACCTCCTGCGCTATAGCTACTTTTTTTCTCAAATTCTCTGGTACTTGCAACAACAGTTGCTGCAACTTATCACTTTGGCTGTGCTGTCGTTCTGTCATACTGGACCTTTCGAATCTTGCTTACTTCACTGGTGGTCCGTGAGGGCTGCCGTGAGCTTAACTCCACTTCTAATTGTTTCTCTTTAATTACTTGTGACACTTCGTCTACCGCCTGCCACTGTCTGTACTACTTTCTCGTGTACTTACTCCTTTCACTTTCCTATCCTCCCTCAACCTGTGTTACTTCTTCATCTCTCTCTCTCTCTCTCTCTCTCTCTCTCTCTCTCTCTCTCTCTCTCTCTCTCTCTCTCTCTCTCTCTCTCTCTCTTTCAAATTAATCGCTAAAAACATTCCATCTCCAGGTGTGTATATTAAACTTATCACTAGTTTTCCTGATTAACTAACTTCCAATTTTAAAGTTCTTGAAGCTCCCTTGGGGACAACACACACCAGAATAGTTTTGATTTAAATAGTTTACATTAATCACATATTTATTTTGGACAGCACATCATGATGTAAACTTCCAACGTAAATTAAAATAACATTCTTATTATTCCTTAAATAATTAGTTTGTGTTATTAACAAAGGAACTCATCGTGAGGTTATTACTGTACAGTGTCATCCATCTTGCTAATCAGTGTACAGATGTGGCAGTATATGTGGTACTAATCGTGTTGGCAGTGGATGTGGCACTACTGCTGTTGGCAGTGGATGCGGCACTACAACTGTTGGCAGTAGATGTGGCACTACTCCTGTTGGCAGTGGATGCGGCACTACACCTGTTGGCAGTATATGTGGTACTACTCGTGTTGGCAGTAGATGTGGCACTACTGCTGTTGGCAGTGGATGTGACACTACACCTGTTGGCAGTAGATGTACCAGTACTCCTGTTGGCAGTATATGTGGCACTACTCGTGTTGGCAGTAGATGTTTCACTACCCCTGTTGGCAGTGGATGTGGCACTACTGCTGTTGGCAGTAGATGTTTCACTACCCCTGTTGGCAGTATATGTGGTACTACTCGTGTTGGCAGTAGAAGTGGCACTACTGCTGTTGGCAGTAGATGTTTCACTACCCCTGTTGGCAGTATACAGTATGTGGTACTATTCCTGACAGAAAATATTACAGTATCTCCGTTTCTGCTATTGCCTGGGGTCGTGACACCAAGTCATGAAACTTTTTTTTTACAATTATATTCTTAACACGGAACGTTTCTTAGCTCACTATATCCCACCAATGGTAACTTCTTCACGAAAGGCATTAAGAAAAACTAATAAATGTGGATAATAACGAAATAAATGGACCTGTCATGTATGGAACAGCATCGCGTGCAGCGTCTGCCACCCCTGCTGTCTCAGACCTCCCTGGCCTGGCACGCACCTCCTACCTTCCTCTGGGTGAAATATGTTACTCATTACACTACAGTTTACTAACTCTCGAGTAAAAGAATCACAGGAGAACTATGTTGTGTATGTGTAAACCTTGATGTCATGTGCGTCGTGCACATAATACAGTCACACTCGAGAACGGTTTACTTATTTAATAGTGTAATATACAGTGTGTTGTTGTAGTCATCCACTCACACAAACACCACTAATTTGTAGGATTTTTCGTTATATAAGATGTACGGTATTTAAAAGTAGTTTGTTGTGGCAAGCCGAGTAAGATGTCATAGTGTTTGATGGCCATGGAGGTGCTCACACATGCCAGTGTTCCTGACTGTTCATCATCTCATAATTTTAGGCGTGACTGCAGAACAACGATAATTCAATACATTTTTAATAATTTCCGAGTAATAAAAATTATTTGCATATAGAAAATATTCTGTATATAAACACAGTGCAAAATATGAGTGAATAATATCAGTAATAACCTCACCTAACATTACCAACTTATGATAGCGAAGGATATCGTATATAACAAGAAGTCAGATTTGTCATTTATGCACCAATTTCGTTGGACTTATAACAAAAAAACTTATCTCAATTTCTCACGAGACTCCGTTGCCTTTTAAGACTTAACCGGAAGATTATTCCTGAAACGCCTAACAGTCACACACCACTGGTGCCTATGGTGGTAGAACCTTCCTGATCATGGCACCACACTGGTGAAGGTGTCATGATGATACTATAGGTGTTGTGAAGATGTACCTCAGTGATCGTGTCCCATTGTTTATGTGATGGTACACTGCTGAAGGTGCCATAATGATCAGACTTGTTGTGGTGCTATACTGGTTGTATAGTAGTGCAAACTGATTGTGGTGCCGCACTGATTGTAGTGCCATAATGGTTGCAGTACCATAGTGGTTGTAGTGCCATAATGGTTGTAGTGCCATACTGGTTATGGTGCCACACTAGTCGCGCTGTAACCCTGAGTTTGGTCGTGACCTGTACATTAGGTCTAGTATCTTTTTCCTAGTTTGAGCTGTAAAGCTTGATACGTGGGGATCACCCAGGCTTCATAACACAGAAGTATGTACGAGCATTAACCTTCTTTATACTGTATGTAATCACTCACTTGCGGAGGACCACCAGTTAGTTCTCACACCACCAAGAACTTGTCATCTCTGAGGTGTTATACATTGGCAGGATCAACTCGTACAACTGTACACACAATAACCAAGAAGTTGGTCGTTTCAGTATATTTTGGAATGTCAATAATAAGACTCGTGGTTTATATTACAGTTAGGTTACGTCGCTCTTGTTTACTTTGGTTCAATAAACCATTCACACTTTATTTTTACAAACGAGTTTTTGACCTTTCATGAAATTGTTTTACTTTTATTACTTTTGTATATTTTTTTTTTTCACCTGACAACACGTTTTGGCAATTTTTCGTGTTTTAAAACTCCAATTAACCTACGTTTGACTATGTAACAATTACATTTAACCGTTCCCCTTTTGATCAGTTCCTAATATTGTTTTAATTGAGTAAAAGAGTTTTTATACGTAAAGTTCCAAATATACATTTAATGTAAATTCGATTCATCCAATAATTAAACGATTACACCCAACAATTATTATTTCATACACATAATGTCCCTCTGTTTTTTCAAAGGGTTTTGCTCTCAGTTATTCTCATATTATGATAATTTATGATTAATAAAATATGAGTATTTTCATGTTGTATTCGTGGCTCAGAGCTAAACATTGAAATATTAATTGTTATCGTTTCACTACTACACAGATGAAGGACACTGGTTACCATCTATATATATATATATATATATATATATATATATATATATATATATATATATATATATATATATATATATATATATATATATATAAATATATATATATATATATATATATATATATATATATATATAGATACTTAAGTACATATATATATATATATATATATATATATATATATATATATATATATATATATTATATATATATTATATATATATATATATATATATATATATATATATATATATATGTATATTATATATATATTATATATATATATATATATATATATATATATATATATATATATATATATATACTTCATATAGATCCACAATGGAAACGTGGATAAGATTAATCTTGATAAAATCACACAGGAAAAAGGGAAACAATGGAGCACCTTAGCTTTCGTCTTTATTCAGTTGCCTCTGAAGATGTCTTGAATAAAGACGAAAGCTAAGGTGTTCCATTGTTTCCCCTTTTCCTGTGTGATTTTATCAATATATATATATATATATATATATATATATATATATATTATATATATATATATATATATATATATATATATATATATATATATATATATATATATATATATATATATATAATGCCTTTTAAAGGGAATCCTGTAGGATAGACTGACCTTGGCAGTAGTGGTATGGACGCCATCGGTGGCAGCAACGGTCAGCGTGTAGTGGTACTGGTCTTCATGGTCGAGGCGACGGGCCAGACTCACCAGGCCAGTGTCCACACCCATGCTGAACCTCCCGCTCTCGTCCCCCTCTGTGGCAGGGCGAGGCATATATACCTCAGTTATTACATCAAAAAGGCATACTGTATATGCAAATACATACAATGAATGTGACTTAAAATACCAATATCCAGTTGTACAAATACCAACAGTTATGGGATGATGTGACTGACAGTAACAAAGAATCTGTACACCCGGTAACATTAATCCTAATATAAGTCTTACAAACATATTCGCTGCTTTATTATTGTGATATAAAAGAATAATTACATATAAAAATGTTTACAATTAATTAATTATTAGTGTAATTATAGCTGGAAAATTTTCAGAATGCACAAAAATTGCCAGCAGTAATTTACAAGATACAAGTTCATTAGCCGCCCTAATGTATATATTATAATAATACATAATCCAAACACTTTTCACGTTAAAATTCTTTGGTAAATTTGGTATTAATTCTTACAAAAAATCGACGAGCAATATTTGATTCGAATATCAATATAATTAACTTTGCAATAACGAGTATTTTAACACAATTAATCGTGTCAGTAGTGCTTCAAATAACTTTATATAGTGGCTTCAGAGTTACAACTGTATGTTACTGTGTCTATTGAAAAGCAATGTTCAATTTAAATAAAAAAAATATAGAATTTAATTGCTATAATAACACAGCTACCTTTATCACTCCTGGTATAACGACCATGTTAACACGATGTCACCTTCAACAACATTACGACAGTATAAAATATCACTGAGGAAATATTGGATCCTTTCTAAGCAAAACATAATCAATACAGTAAATATAGGACGCCTCACATAATGCTTTAAGACACAGTTCTCTCCGTTAGAGGAGTTGCTTGTCCCGGGAGCTGCTCGTCGCCTCAACACATAATGCTCCTGCAGTAAATCATCGAGGTAAAGACCCGAGTATTACTGAGAGCCTTGCCGGAGTCTCTCTCGTATCAGTCTCATATTTTAATATTATATTGTGTCTTCTTCCATACAATAACGCAGCGAATTTTTTAAATAAAATAGTCAAATATATTTAGACAGACAAAATATGAAATAAATTGTATAAGTGATATATTCAATGCTGGTTATAATTCTTTGAAAAACTTGCAACCTAAAACTAAGGAGGGTTGAAATACGTTCTTTGACTGGGAAGACTCATTGTGTCTCTCTGATGTCCCAGGAGGATTGGGACGAGTGTAGTATTGGAAGGTGACCAACAAAGAGGAGGAGGATCGAATGTGTTACGGTGGAGAGGATCTGGTATTAGGAAGATAGAAAGCGAGTAAAGAAGTAACGCGAAAAAATTATTAATGATGTTACTTGATAGACCTAAACATCATGAAACGTACTCGGTATTGTGGACAAGCGTTCGGAGTCCACATACTTAAACTGACCAAGAGAGTTGTGCTGATGTTGTATATTTATTAGTTAAGATTCAAATCAAGGTACGAGGAGGTGGGGAAGAACTTTCTGCACGACAAGCTGGAACAGATAAATGCTCAAGATGTGAAGATATTAGGATTAAGAGTACGATTTCATGAACAAAATAGTACTCGGAGGTAAACGGCAACAAAAATTTGGTAAAATCAAAGGCTGTTTTCCTTTTGCTGATGGACTTTATATTTGTGACCCAGTAAGGTGTTTACGAGAAGCCGCTTAGGCCTCAGGGTATAGTTATACCATTAGTACCGATTCACACCGGGGGTGAATCGCACATTGCTTCTGCTACGGGAATTCGAACCCTGGATCATTGGAGTGCGAACCCAGTACGATAAACACTCCACCACTATAAAACTTTAGAGTTGTCTTTACGACACTAAAAAACAACACCAACATGAGCTGGACAAGTTACGACCAAACTTGAGGCCCGTGTGAGGCAACCCCTCTTAGAGAACTACAAGTATCACAACAACCCCTCTTATAGAGCTGCAGGTACCACAATAACTCTTTTTATAGAGCTGCAGGGACCACAATAACCCCTCTTATAGAGCTGCAGGTACCACAATAACCCTTTCTATAGAGCTGCAGGGACCACAATAACCCTTCTTACAGAGCTGCAGGGACCACAATAACTCTTTTTATAGAGCTGCAGGGACCACAATAACCCCTCTTACAGAGCTGCAAGGACCACAATAACTCTTTTTATAGAGCTGCAGGGACCACAATAACCCCTCTTACAGAGCTGCAAGGACCACAATAAACCCTCTTACAGAGCTGCAGGGACCACAATAACCCCTCTTACAGAGCTGCAGGACCACAATAACCCCTCTTACAGAGCTGCAGGGACCACAATAACCCCTCTTACAGAGCTGCAGGTACTTTTAGCCTTGTTCATCCTTGTTTACAATAACATGTCACTCTTTGATGGTTGAGATGCTATAATCTTGTAAGCTACCTCATCTACTGCAGCCGTCTCAGCTGCGACTGTTCTAAGTTTTCTGATCTTGATCTTATTTCCACTGTTCTCTTCATCGCTGTCATAATGTCTACTTATATCAATATCCTCGAGTCCGTAGGTCAATGTGGGGATAAGAACACAGTCAAAACTCACTACTACTTGTGGTACAATCTTCTCGGTAAATACAGTGTTTAGGAGTACCATACATGTTAATGTTGCTGGTTATCTCTTGCTACATATTAACCTACGAAATATCAATTCCCCAAACCTACATTCATTAACTTGTAGTACATTATAATTATTATTATTATTATTATTATTATTATTATTAAGATTATTATTAAGATTATTATTATTATTATTATTATTATTATTATTATTATTATTATTAAGATTATTATTAAGATTATTATTATTATTATTATTATTATTATTATTATTATTATTATTATTATTATTATTATTAAGATTATTATTATTATTATTATTATTATTATTATTATTATTATTATTATTATTATTATTATTATTATTATTATTAAGATTATTATTATTATTATTAAGATTATTATTATTATTATTAAGTTATTATTATTATTATTATTATTATTATTATTATTATTATTATTATTAATAATATTAAGATTATTATTATTATTAAGATTATTATTATTATTATTATTATTATTATTATTAATATTATTAAGATTATTATTAAGATTATTATTATTATTATTATTATTATTATTATTATTATTATTATTATTATTATTATTATTATTAAGATTATTATTATTATTATTAAGATTATTATTATTATTATTAAGATTATTATTATTATTATTATTATTATTATTATTATTAAGATTATTATGATTATTATTATTATTATTATTATTATTATTGTTATTATTATTATTATTATTATTATTATTATTATTATTATTATTATTATTATTATTATTACATTCCCTCTAATCTGTCTGAAATGATACATTCTGTCATTTCTTTGTTCACTGACGCTTCGTCTCACACTTCATTTTGTACTGAAGTTTCATTCTACCTGATCTGGCCTCCTGGAGATCATCAGGGAATTCCCAGTATCAAACATCATCTGAGTTGGTTAACCCTTTGAGGATTCAGGTTTAGCCATTTGAGGACTTAGGTTTAGGCCTTTGAGGACTCAGGTTTAACCCTTTGAGGACACGGGTTTAACCCTTGAGGACTATCGTTTAACCCTTTGAGGACAATGGTTTAACCCTTTGAGGACGATGTTTTAGCCCTTTGAGGACTAGGGTTTAACCCTTTGAGGACGATGGTTTAACCATTTGAGGACTATGGTTTAACCCTTTGAGGACTATGGTTTAGCCCTTTGAGGACAATAGTTTAACCCTTTGAGGACTATGGTTAAACCCTTTGAGGTCTATGGTTTAACCCTTTGAGGCCCACTGTTTTACCCTGTGGGGATTATGTTCTAACCCTTTGGGGACTATGGTTTAACCCTTTGAAGCCCATGGTTTAACCCTATGAGGACTATGTTCTAACCCTTTGAGGATAATGGTTTAACTTTTTGAGAACTATGGTTAAACCCTTTCAGGACGATGGTTTAACCCTTTGAGGACTATTGTTAAACACTTTGCGGACTATGGTTTAACCCTTTGAGGATTATGGCTTAACCTTTTCAGGGCGATGGGTTTAACCCTTTGAGGACTATGGTTTAACTCTTTGAGGACTATGCCTTAAGGCATACTGTAAATTCACTAATTATTTTGACCGTATAAACTAAAGTGAAGAGAAAAAGTTGTTTATTATAATTCGCTATTTTTGTTGACTCAGTTCGAAGAGGCCTTCCAGTTATGATATATTATTCGAGGGAGTCCCGTAAATCCTTCCCTGTGAACGAATATATATACAATCAACACCTCAACCCGCCAGGATTCGAACCCACGGCCCACGAGCCCATGACTGTGACCGGGGAACGCTACCTCTGGACCACCAGGATACTAAAAGCAGTCCTAGACTCTGTTATATTTCACACAAAGCTTGCTCAAAGGAGCTTATGGCGCCGTGAACCTCTAATGGGGACTACCCGTATCACGTAGGTGGTCAGAGTAACGTTTTACCAAACCCGGCTTAGAAACACAAGGATCCATATATATTTCATTAGTCCAATAAAGCATGCGGATTCTACATACAATCAACACCTCAACCCGCCAGAATTCGAACCCACGGCCCACGAGCCCATGACTGTGACAGGGAAACGCTACCTCTGGACCACCAGGATACTAAAAGCAGTCCTAGACTCTGTTATATTTCACACAAAGCCGGATTTGGTAAAACGTTACTCTGACCACCTATGTGATACGGGTAGTCCCCATTAGAGGTTCACGGCGCCATAAGCTCATTGAACAGGCTTTGTGTGAAATATAACAGAGTCTAGGACTGCTCTTAGTATCCTGGTGGTCCAGAGATAGCGTTCCCCGGTCACAGTCATGGGCTCGTGGGCCGTGGGTTCGAATCCTAGCGGGTTGAGGTGTTGATTGTATGTAGAAATCCGCGTGGTTTAGTTGGCTAATGAAATATATATATATATATATATATATATATATATATATATATATA